CCGCAGGCGTAGACGAACATCGCCATCGAATCGCCCTGTGTGACGCCTTCACAGCTCCACAGACAGCCGGCTGAGCCTTGCAGATGAGGTGCAGCGAACCCTCGGTAGGTGTTGAACACATAGCGAGAGCAGCGGGGCTACAGTACGCGGGTGTTCCAGATGGCAGCAGGCCGACTGATTCGATTGAAGGCGTTGCTCGCGTTCACCAGCAGGAGCCCCTCGGTCTCGTCCTCTTGGAAGAGGTCATTCACGGCGTGCACAGCCCCCTCGAGGCCCCCCTTCACACCGATGCACAGCTGATCAGTGCCGCAGGTCGTCTTCAGGTCAGAGCGGGTCACCATGGCCATGCACTTGCCAGCCAGCCGAGAGAGCACCTCTCCGACGCCGATGGGGCGGACGCCAGGGCATTTGTCGAGAGCGATGATACGGCACGCTCGCAGGGCCTTGATGTTGTCCCATGGGACGATGGTGTTGGTCAGGGTAGAGACGAGCGAGGCCACAGCCGCGCGGAGGCGGTCGCTCTTGGCATCGTATCGAAAGAGGAAGGTCTGCCAGAAGTTCGCATCGCCACCGGTCGGTCCAGCGCTCTCATTCGCGTCCACAGTGGCGTCCGATCCGGTCGCAGCCGCGCTTTTCTTCGACGCGCTGGTCAACGCATTTCTCACATACCTCCTGGGTCAGCCGTCGGACCCCGAGCCCGGCTTGTTCGGCCTCTGCGATGCCTACTATGGTGTTGTCGAGGCGCAAAATCGTGGATCGCTGCATTTGCACATGCTGGTGTGGCTTCACGAGGCGATGTCGTCGTCAGTGCTGAAGGGGCGGCTGCTGGACGACCGCTTCAGAGCCCGGATGGAGAAGTACTTGGACTGGATCATCATGGAGGACTTGACGCGGCTGGAGGAAGGGTGCAACACTGCAGGTAAAGAGCCCCAGACAGACGAACAGAACAGAACATGTGGACAGTGCGTGTGTCTGTCATGTTGTGTGTGTGATGATGTGGGTAGGACCTATCAGCGCGTCCGTGCATTGGTCGAAGAGGATGGCACCCAACTGGGGAAGCCGAAACATGACGACAAGTTCACACACATAATCCGTACACATCCATACACATGGATCACCGCATATGTGTGCATGCGCATACCTCTACTTTGAGATTGTGACTGCTGGTCGTTTCGTCGTCATCGCTGTCATCGATGTCTATGTGAATGATGACAGTGCAGAGTGATCATTTCACCTGTCATGGATTGCAGATCTGTCTTCATGTTACCTGACGATGCATCTTATGGACATCGCCAGTATGTGACTTCTTTGTCTCATTGAAGTGAAAGCACTCTGGCTCTGGGGCTTACCGCCCAGCTGATCCGGTTATTCAGCTGATACTCGGCAAGGTCCTCACCGGCCTTTCCACAAACATACAATGCATGCACTGTGACTCGTGTGTGTTTTCATTGTATGATTGCTTTGCCAGTCGTGCAATTTTTGTGGGTCTGCATCCGCTGCTGCTTTCTCCTGTATGAAACTCAAGACGAACACTCGTCGCTCCGCATTTGCCGAAAGATCTCATGGAAGTCGAGTGTCTGTCAGTGATTGTAGGAATGGCCTGGTAGTATGCAGGACTTCTTAGTGTCTCGCTGTGAATCATATAAATTGCTCAGCGTTGCATCACTTTTGCGTGAAATGCAATGTGTGGAAGCGAGGGAGCCATCAAGTTGACTTGAGTTGATGGGGACACTAATGGATGTCTGATGTCCTTGGAGAAGATAAAGGCCTCGTACTTAGATATCACACTTGTACCATGAGTCGACCAACAAGTTCACCGACATAAAAGACATCCATGTTCGTTCACTCACTATGCCATCCGATAGTAGTGTTCTGTAATACACTACTATCATTAGTCGAAGTACGGGCCGATTTGCATACTCCAGAGTTTATCCAGCTTGTACATGTCCGTCAAAAGCTCAGTCCCTGGCGCTATCATGCCCGCGTAGTCCTTTGGCACCATAAACGTGACCTCCTCTCGCTTGTCTATCGCCCTCGCGCGTGCGACTAGCTACTGTCTGCGTGGGGGAGGGAGGGG